TCCCCTCTAAGTATCGGATGTAACTTCCTAACAACCATCCGGTGTTCTCATGAAGGGGTCTGGGAGGGATTTTTGGGGAAAACACCCTTTATGATGATATATTTATAAAGCACCAACATACAATGTGGCGCTGTACTGGTGGCGGCGTCTGGTACGGCACATCAGTCCAACGACCTGTACCACTCATTACCGGAACTCCCAGGTGTATGTTGAGGGCGGTCGCAGTGACCGCGGATGGCGCCGCATTCAGTATAATCAAGTCTAGGAACGTCGGTGAGAATCCATTTATTGATGTCGATCATTATGAGCGCTTTCCGGGGCCACGCAGGGTCCCCTTCATCGTAGAGAACCACCACCTATATATATATACACACGGCAAAACTACTAATCCTCATATAACCCCGCCCCTCGGCGTCTCAGTGACGTCATCTTCCCGCCAAGTAAATACAGGAGATACAGGAACAATGAAAGGATCCCATTGCATGTCAGTGGTCAGAGTATACGGTATATACACACGGGAGACATGAGCGCAACATTGTCCTCCATGGGCCGCTGGGATATGCACTGGTGATATATCCAGATTATTATGTGCAAAATAGCCAAAACAAGGAGGGGCCACGGTCGTCATGGAGACCGGGGCGCTCGTCCGCAGGGTTAGAGAGCCGTCAGTGGGCCATGCTACTGCGCATGCGCCGCGGGGCATCAGCGGTTGGTCAGAGCTTGTGACAGGTACCGCCTCCTCCAGAATCAATGGGAGCAGATCGCCGGCCTGGACTCATTATAGGATCGTGAGCTTCAATCCAAGCGGCCATCATGGAATCTATCGCTCTAACCTTCAAAAAACCGCCATTATCACCAAAATGTAAAATAATCGAGTGCGGCAACACTGATCTACGTGTAATAATTGGTGGGAATAAAATCTCCCATTAAGACCATAACCTCGCGCTGTAACGCACCTGACCTCAGGCGTGGAATACAGGTCGCGTGTCACGCGTGTCAGTCATAGATGTCGTCTGATAATAAGGTCGCTGACACTGTGTTAAACGATTGCTGAGTCGATAACATACATGTGTCTATGTAACACACATGTGTCTATGTAACTCAGGCCTGTATCTACCATGGGGGCAAGTGAACCACTCGCCTCAGCGCAGCTGAGAAGGGGCGCAGCTAGGGCCAGCCTGACTACGTCCCCTCGCCAATGTTGCCACGGCCAACACAGACGCTGCTCGGCAGGGGGAAGAGGATCGGCACAGGCTCCAGCTTCTCCTCGGATCCCCGCTGCTCTCCCCGACCTGTATGGACAGAGGGCTCTGTGTGTGTCTCTGAGGGCTCTGTGTGTGTCTCTGAGGGCTCTGTGTGTGTCTCTGAGGGCTCTGTGTGTGTCTCTGAGGGCTCTGTGTGTGTCTCTGAGGGCTCTGTGTGTGTCTCTCAGGGCTCTGTGTGTGTCTCTGAGGGCTCTGTGTGTGTCTCTGAGGGCTCTGTGTGTGTCTCTGAGGGCTCTGTGTGTGTCTCTGAGGGCTCTGTGTGTGTCTCTGAGGGCTCTGTGTGTGTCT